CTCGAAGAACATGAAAAATTTGAATTTAGAAAGCACGACTCCTTCAGCAGAATCACTCCAAGCTGCTCGGAGTGACCACGCTCTGGACTGCGCAGAGATCGTTTCGAGCTGCGCAGGGTGATCTTGGCGCCTTTATGTTCCGTGCTGCGCGAGAGATCACTCCGCACAGCCCGGAGTGTTCGGAGTGTTCCAAAGGGAGTCCCAGCTTTTGGGACACTCCTTTGAGACACTCCGCGCAGCGCGGAGTGTCCCAGCTTTTGCGACACTCCGTCCTGGGCGGGCGGAGTGTCTCCAAAACGTTTATACTAAAAAAATTATTATTTATAAAATTAAAAACATTTTACAATAAATACAAATTATAATATAAAACTCATCTTTCATTATTTATAAAATTAAAAATATTTTACAATAAATACAAATTATTATATAACCAGTCATTTTAAAATTTTTCGTAACCCTTTTAATTTCATTAAATAATTATATTCTTTTCCAAAATTCGAATCAAAAATACATTTTTTATATTTAGAATTTTAATATCAAATTTCCATATTCAAGAATAAAATAAAATGCGAGGGGTAAATATATTTTAACATTCCTTGTTAAATATTTATTTTTAATCTTTTAATTATAACATTTAATTTCTCGAATTTAGTACTTCAAAAAAATACAAATTTAACACATTTAATATAATTTCTTTTCTACGATCAACTACCACGTCTAATGTAAAAAATTTCAATTATCTATTAACATCAAAAAATGTTTCTTTTACTTAATTAATTTTTTAATTACTATAATTCTCAATTACATTATACCATAATTTTTTTTATTAAAAACCCTTTCACAAAAAAATACAAATTTAGTTTCTCGAATTTAGTACTTCAAAAAAATACAAATTTAACACATTTAATATAATTTCTTTTCTACGATCAACTACCACGTCTAATGTAAAAAATTTCAATTATCTATTAACATAAAAAAAATTTCTTTTAATTAATTAATTTTTTAATTACTATAATTCTCAATTACATTATACCATTATTTTTTTAATTAAAAACCCTTTCACAAACATACATATCTTCATTTTTATTTATTTAAATTATACATATAAATTCATTTTATCTAAAGGTGAACATAATGAACTTAATCAAAATTTTCGTTTTTCTATGTTTTATACACATATAGTTATTAACTATCATTTGATTTATTTTAACTTTCGTATAATTTTTTCTTTAAATATATTGCATAAATATTAAAGTTAACAAATTTTATTTATTCAAACTACATATCAATCATAGTACAAATTATGTTGTTTCGATTTATATATTGTACTATTATATTTCTAATATGAAACTGTAAAAATATCATAAAGTTTCATACAATTGTAACCAATTTTCCTCTCCATATATATATATATATACAGTTTCACATCAAACACAAAACACAATGGTTCAAATAGTATAGATATAATACTAAATTTTTTTTTTTCAACATATAGTTATTAACTATCATTTGATTTATTTTAACTTTCGTATAATTTTTTCTTTAAATATATTGCATAAATATTAAAGTTAAACAAATTTTATTTATTCAAACTACATATCAATCATAGTACAAATTATGTTTTTTCGATTTATATATTGTATTATTATATTTCTAATATGAAACTGTAAAAATATCATAAAGTTTCATACAATTGTAACCAATTATCCTTTCCATCACAATATATATATACAGAAATCAATGGTTCTCTGCTACAATTACTCAATTTGCAAATCATCAATATTTTAAAGATTTTGTAGAACTTATAAATGCAGATGATCAAGCCTCTTTATTGTGCAGTCCACTCCATGGATTAATTTGTGGAAATATGAATAAGAAGCAAAACGACAAATTTAGCAGCAAGTTAACACATGAGTTCATAATGAGACTTATAAACTGTGGTAAAAATAACGAAGTTTGGGTACAACTAGACGATCGTGTAGCACGTTTTGGCCTACAAGAATTTTGTCTCATAATTGGATTGCCATGTCATGAACCTACTGTTGGTCTAAATTTTAGTAATACTCGACTTAGAGATGAATACTTCGATGGTTCAAAACGAATAACTATGATAAGACTTTCTGAAGTATTTCATATATGTGAAGATCGAGAAGATAAATTTAAGTTGAGATTAGTTATGTTTGTCGAATGTGTTTTAAAACCAACTGGAAGACACATCGATTACAGAACTCTTGGAATGGTTGAACAGCTTGATGAATTTCTTATGTATCCATGGGGACGTAAGGCATATTTTGTTCTATTACATTCATTACAAGAATCACAGCTTGAAAGAATACGAAGAATGCAACAAAATAACCAAGCAAAATGTAAATATTCATTGCATGGTTATCCACTTGTATTCCAGGTATTTTTCTTATATTTATTCCCTATTCGATATAATTTAATCATGTAAAAACGTTAATATTCTTTTTTACTTATATTTCAGTATTGGATATACGAAGTTTTTCCTAAAATTGGACGACAATTTGGTCACCGTATCCGTACAAGTTTAAAATGTCTACGAATGCATAAATGGCAGCCTCAAATGGTATTAGCGGAAAATGTTATTAAAGAATTTTTAGTTACTGAAGAGGTATGTTCATTTCAGTATACAATTAAATATATGTTTTATTCTTTATAAATAAATTTTAGAGAATACGTCTGATATTTTATTACAATATTACAATTATAAATTACAGTAATTGCAACGTTAAATCCTACTGAAGCAGAATTGGAAATATTCTGGTATACAACTCTTTCACTGCCAATTGACAACCAACATTGTACACTAGACAGCATTGTCAATGGTGAATTGGAAAATACAACAGAACAAATTCAAGCATATAACATACATCCACAAGAAACAACTGTACACAATTCAAATAGAATTGAATCTACTTCTTCCGGTACTTTAGACTATGTAACTAAACAAGATATGGAACAGATGTTCAATGTACACAGACAAGATGTCTTTGGTTTCTACGACAGCTTGAAAACACAGATGATTCAAGAAGCAACAAAGCAAAAAGCTCAGTATCATACGATTCTTGAAAATCAACAAACTCTCTATCAGACACTTCTTGACAATCAAAAACAATTTTTTGAAGTGCAGCAAAAAAATCAACAGGAACATTTTCAGGGCATACAATCTGGCATGCATTCTTATGTGGATACCAGTTTCGGTTTACTGAAGTCTTACATTGATGAACAAAATCGAAATATGCAGAATCAGTTAACCAACTGGAAATCACATATGGAATCAATTGTAGCCTCTGTACAACATGAATTGCCCCCTCCAACAAATCAAGCTGAATTTGAAATGCCTTCAACATCTGAACATGCAGAAGACGTCGAAAGATCAACAAAAGAAAAAAAGGTAAGCAAAAAGAGACACAATCTCCATCACCAACGGCAACGAATACGTTAGAAGATTATAATATCGACAAATACAAAAATATTAGAGAATGGATATCAGAAAATCCATCAGAGTAAGATATTAAATTTAACTTCGTTAACTTAAATATTTTATTTCGCATTTTACTTATTTAATAACAATTTCATTTTTTCTTATATAGTGCATACTGGAAAGATGAAATCGGCAATCAATACTCAAGACATTCACTGATAAATATAATAAATCAAATTAAAGATATAAATATTGTGGTAAGTCAACTTTAGCAATCTTAATTAATTTTACTTCGTTATTAATGTAGCTAATTTAAATTTTTTTTACTAGCATATTGATATAGAATTAAAACTGTTGCGAAGACTCATTCATGATACATCTTCCCCGATTTCCAAAGAATATGCAATCATGGACTTTCGATTCGAGAATAAATGTGTTCATTGGTACACAACGATCAAACAAGGAGCAACCGCTTTTGTGAATAATTTCCAAGCATTAGAGCAATACACAAAAGGAGAATTACCTACATTTGCTCGACCCTGGATAACATACAACTATTTATTGATTCCAGTCGCATATCCAGGCAACAGTTGGTTTATTTTTCTTGTTGATTTTGAAAAGTGGAAATTTCAAGTATATGATTGCAGCCACAACATTCATACACCAGATGCAATCAAGTTACGTGCAGCCCCAGTTTTGGATGTAGTACAATCATTATTAATAGCTACTGACATTTTCTTCGAGAAGCCAAATTTACGAAAACATAGAAATAAACATATGAAATTGAAAATCATACCGTATCTACCTTGTCAAAATAATGGGTAAGTATCTCAACAATTTACTTTAATATTTATTTTTCTATTCAATTTTATTTTACATTTATAGCATTACTATAAAATAACTTCAAACAATTTTTTCTGTAGGCCAAACTCTGGAGTTCTTCTTCTCAAATACATTGAATGTTTCATTTTCGGACATCCATTAGAAGCAGTTTCAACTGAGAAACTACGTTTATACAAACGAAAAATTGTCACAGATATCTGTCAAAATGAATATTTTTTCCGTCCATATTTATCATAACCATAACAAAGAAGGTAACTCTTTTGTTTTTTTTTATATAATGTCCCCATCATGTAAAGCAAAAGTTATAATAAGGTAAAAGCATTACCAAAATAAATGTCTATATTCATTAATTAATTCAATCTCAATTTTTTCTACATATACTTTAGTCTTGTTTCTTTCTACTTCTGCTAATAGCTTTTCTCTTGCTTTAATAGGTTGCCCTATCATGATTGATGTTGAAACCAAGAAGAAAAAACTTTTCATCACCCATCATGTAAGTATCATGTATTCAAATATCAAGTATATCAAAGAATTGCCGTTTTAACAATTTCTTATCAATGTTTCATTTTCTTCCTTTTGTAATAACGCTATTAACTTTTGAAAGTAATCATTATAATCTTATTTGTATTTCAATTTTCTTTCTCTACAAGCTTAATTCAACTTTTGAAAGTGATCATTATAATCCCATTTGTATTTCAATTTTCTTTCTATACAAGTTTAATTCAACGTGTTTTAAATACAATCATTATGCAAATAATTTATATATTCGTTAAATGTATTATCATTATTCAATAAAACGACTGAAAAAATTGATCATGTGAATTTTTATAGAATTTTTATCAACCCTCATAGTAATTTCTTTAGCAGTCTATATGTTTATAAGATTAAGTTAAATAATCTAAAATAGTATAATTTATTTATTAACTACTGCAAATGAAATCGTAGAGAAATACTTCTTACCAACTCATTTAGGACAAATAAAAGCAAATCCATATTTATACTTCTCATTTTATACCTTAAATATAACTTTCTAATATATTTATGAACAGATATGCTGCTGCACTTATTTTTGCTACTCATTGGGAAATGTCATAAACTTTGAGAATAATTACAGCACAAACGTTTCACATAATTTGCAGAAAATAATAATAACCAAGTTTTCATATACACTTAAAAAACTTATTTCACGCACAAAACAAAATTATTACTCCGAATTTGCCTATTGAAAAGTATAACTACTATTTTCCATCTAAACAGCTCAAAAAAAATTCTACATGAAAATCTTTATTAGAGCATAGTAAATGAAACAAGCTAAAAATAGTGAATTACAATAAAAATTCAATACTAACATAAATCACCACACTAATATCACCTTAAACAAAATTTAAGCCATGCATTGCATGGCCAGGAGCTAGTATCCTTAAAATTATTGGAGCTGTAAAAAGCAACATGATTGTTGCGTTTATTCATCACATATTTTTTACTTTTACACTCAACCATGATGGGAAGCTAGTTCTACTCTAGTTAGTATGACTATGATTCAAGAGTAAATACTAAAAAATGACTAAAATATTTTGCAAAGGAAAAACAGCATGTCCCTGAATTCTGATGAATGTTTTATAATTGTGGGCCTAAATTTACTTCATTAATAATTTTTTCCATTAATTTTAGTAATTGCATTTCTAAGCCTTCATTTGATAAATGTGTGAATAATAATGAGTATTCATTATTATATATAATTGAAATTAATGTTTAACTTTAATTAAATCTATAAATCATATTATAAATTAGGGCAATACTTGAGGTATATAATGGACACCATTACACCGACGCCCCCTCCAATAGGGGGCGCCACTTGAGCATTAACGACACCAATTAGAATAATTCTATAAATTATATCCACAGAGGCTAAAATTTATGACAATTTGGGGTTTTGACTTCCTTATCGGGAAATGATGCTTAATTTGAAAAGAAATATTTACAGATATAATTGATGTAAGAATAGTTTCACACGGATTTGTCAAAAAGCTGCAGTTTTAATAGCCTACAACGAAAAACATCTACAAATCTGTCTATTGTCCCACAGTTTTAACTCAATATCAGGCATTGATTCTTTCCATATCTTTATGACTGTTTTTTAAGTCCAAAGAGATTCGAAACAAAAAAATTTCATCCGTGCAATTATATGTAATAAAATGATTTCAACACTCGTATACTTGCACTTTGACATAGACATTATTCTCTCGCCAAAAAATATATCCAATATAGAGTTCGATATTGTTCGCAAAAGACCTTGATGTTGAAATTTCAACTGTAAAACAGTTGTTGCAGTTTCATAAAGTTCTTGACGACATTCAAAAACTCGTACAATTCAAGAAAAGACAGTAGTCATTCAACTGCAGCACACCTTTCGATTGAATCAAGGGGCGCCCATGCCATCTTTCCTTCTTGTCCACAGGTGCATAACAAGTCAAAAGAACAAAGATTTGTCAGAGAAAATTTCAATATGAATTGTCTTGAACAGTTAAATACAAATACTTGCAATGATAAGTTCTTAATATTTCACATGGCTATCATCACAAATAAGAAAGAATATAAATTTTTTGCATGTATGACAATTTTGCTTAATTTATTGAACAAGTTAAGTAAAAAAGAAGAACCCTTGAACATAAAAATATCATTATCTTCTTAACTGGAAAATTCACTTCAATTCAGTGCGACTTGGCAATTGCATTCATTGTGGAACAATAGAATGGGATGATTGACAAGGTAAATAAATGAGATTCTTGCCAAGACTAATAGATTTACTTGCATCACCATTTATAAGTCATCACTACAATTACAACTACTACTAGGGAACATGACATCAGCGATGGAAGATTCAGCCGTTGATGCTATAATTCCAGTTGATAACAATAGTTATTGACAAGAATTTTTCGTCGATAAATCCCATCAGTAAAACCTTGGTTATTAATTTACCTACAAAAAGCTGATGCGATTGTAATCTCATCTTTAGTTGCCGAATCTAATGGAGTTTTCAATATGATGAATTAACCTTAATTAACAAGTAAAACGAGGCTATTAGTACAAGCTTTGCCCCGTCTGGTTTAAAGATCCTATTCCTCGATAAGAATAATAATATTATTAATAAAATTATTAATTTGAGAATTCTGAAGGGTAGTTCAGTGGTCAGGTCTTGGGTTTGCTCTCCAATAATCACCAACTCGAGTCCCCTCAGGGCCACTGAGTTGAGTACCTGACTATAAATTTCAAGGTTCCGTGGGATCAATCGAGGTGCGTGTAAACTGGCCCGAACGTGCACGGTCATAAAAAAAATTTGGTGATTTTATTATGCTTTAAAGCCAATATTCTCCATCGACAGTAAATGTTGAAAATAATGTCAATGACAAAAAATGAGAAAATAAAGATTGATAATTATAAAATTTTCATGAAAAAAGGCTATCATACAAATGGAAGATGTCACATGAGCGCAAATGTTAAAGTGAAACCAAAAATAAAATAAATTGCACAATGTTTTATGCTTTAGTTATTTTTGAAATATAAATAATCGAACTGGACCGAAACATGGACCCAACCAAAATCAATCAATTTTGGTCCAATTCGCTTCATTCTATGCCAAGGAAAAAATGAAAAAAATGTACTTAGAAAAGATCATATATCAACAATTCGTACATTTTTCCACAAACTCCACTAATTAGTCCATTTTTCAAAATTTTTAGTCATGTTACCTGGCATTATACTCAAATGTCTCAATTAAATTGAGCATTGAAGGCCTCCGGTTAGAACTCTATCACCAACTTAGATTAATATTATTTTGTATTAGTCCTGTCAACTCAATCACAAATAAACAACAAATTAATAAAAGTTTTAAATATTTGGAATTTCCACAAATTTTGATACCATTATACATCTTATATTATATATGCACATTTCCGTACATTTAATGCACATCTACAAGTTCATATGCACATCCAGATGTACAGCACCAGTGGGCAATTGCAAAACCAATCTATGCACGAGAAAACAACACTAAAAATTACTAATAAGCAATAACAATTATATGGCATCTTGATATTGAAATCATACTATTTTCTACTCATGGATCACCTTAATTTAAGGTTTGTAGAAATGGGCATGCTTGAATCAATAGACAGTATTAATGAAGAATTGCTGGATGCTGTTCACTAATCCTTGAAGTGTACTAGGATAGAGCCGGACGTTGTCGGACCAAGACCGGCACACCGCCCTTAAAAGTGGCAGTGAGGCCTGGAGAGAACTTCGGAGTGGTCTGCGGTTGGGCTAGTTCAATACGAAACCTCCTCAGCAATGAAAGTGCAACACTTTTGAGCTCCACAAGTGCCATTTCTTTACCTAAACAGACCCTAACTCCAGCTTGAAAAACTGGGTACTTAAAAGGATTTTCTTGAAAGAAAACGCCTTCGTCCTTCAACCATCTTTCTGGCTTGAATTCCAAGCAATCTGACCCCCAAATCTCTTCCATTCTGCCCATTGCATAGGGATGGTAAGTAACCCTAGTGCCCTTTTTCACGGAAGTACCATCTGACAAAATATCGTCTTCTAAACAGAATTTTGAATCAAATTGGATTGGTGGATACAATCTCATGCTCTCATATACTGCTGCACGCAAATAGTGAAGTTCTTTGAGTTGCTTGTAGCTTGTGAGTTCTTCGTTTTGGCCAATTACTCGATCAGCCTCGACCAGAATAGCTGCCTCCACCTCGGGGTGCTTTGCCATCACCCAGAAAAAGCACGTCAAGGCTGATGCCACCGTATCACGGCCAGCCAAGAGGAAGCTTATCACAATATCCCTAAGGTACTTTTCATCACTTATAGTGCCCATAAATCTTGAAAGAAGATCTTTCTCCTCGGAAAACCTGAATTTTCGCCTTTGCCTAATGACTTCATGAGCTAACAAGTTGATTTTCTCTATTGCGTGACGGAGTTTTTTCTCGCTTCCAATATTGAACAACCTCTTCATCTTCCAAAGAAGTGGCGATGCCGTCATGGCTCTTTCGGCCGACAGCTTCGATGCTAGGTCGAAGGCGGCTGCGAATTTTGTTATTGGGAGGGATAGATGAAGACACTTTGGGTCCAACCCAAATGAAACTCTGCAAATACTATCAAAGGAAAATCTTTTAAAAATGTCTTGTAAATCCAATATTCCATCTTCTTTACCTGCGACAGATGCTAAAAGGGGTAACAGCCGTTCATCAATCTCGTGATGAACAACTTCAAAAGCGTATTTTTGAACTGAAACACGACCAAGTTCAAGACTGGTCATTTTTCTTTGAAACCTCCACAAATCTCCATCCACGTTGAATATGCCTCTGCCCAAGAAATCACCCAAGATTGCCGAAAAAGGTTTTCCTTTTGGGAAATTATCAAACCTGGTTTTTAGCATATATTCTACGTTGTCGGGATTTGCTGTTATAGTATTACCAAGAACATGAATATGAATCGTGCGAGTGGGAGATTTTTGAAGCAAATGAGTGTACCAATCACAGAGGTTATCAAATTGGATTTTCCAACTTGAATTAATGTAAGTTTGACAAGTCTCACAGTTACAATATACCCTTTTCTTCAGTATGAAAAGGGCTAAAAAGATAATCATGATTATAGATAAGAATATAAGAATCCACGAGTTATTAGAAGACTGGAACCACCAAGAAACTGCAGACTCCATGGATAAAGATAACACAATGGATAGCTGAAGATTAAGGGGGGGAAGAAATTGACACAATGAATGAAAACTACAGATGTTTTAATAGAAAGGTTGCATGTTCACACGCATAAAAAGCAAGTACATATAATACTAGTGCTAATCGCTGGATATTTACTAATTTAGCCATGTTTGCCATCCTTTTAAAATTCAAATTGTTTGCTACATGAACGTTTTCCACCACATATTCACACAATAAAATATTCTACACGCCCCTCAGGGTATAGCTCAGTGGTGCAAAGAAAATGATTGATGTTATCTCACGCCTTGTTGGTAGCCGCAGTGTAGGGATTCGATTCCTGAGATATGAAATTAGACTTCTTGTAGGCACAGTGTACAGACAATTCTTGTTCCCTGGCCTATTGGGGCACATCTCGCGATTTACCTCCCTCATAAAGCTCTAAGAACGAGACGGTGGGAGCCCTCAAGATTGGGGTTCAATCTTTTTTTTAATAAAATATTCTACACATAAATCAATAAAATTTCTTTACTTTTTAACCAAACTCTAAAAAAAAATACAATGTAACAACTCATTATTTTCAAATAAATTCTATCAAACAGGTCCTTATTTTGTTGAAAAATAATATTTTAGAAGGAAAAAAAGGAATATAAGCACGAATAACTCATGGATAAAGGGAAAACTTCATGAGGATTAAATAATATATATTTGTACATATTTATCCCCGTGCTATTATTCTTTTTCTGTACCTTCCACTGCGTAGAAAATAAGGATACACACTCAGATGTGTGGCTACTGGTGGGACATATTACGATCTCAACGGCGAACTTAGAACTCCACTTTATTGGGGTAAATATTTTTTTAAGTAAAGGAGCCGATGCAATAAAGGGGAAAAAATATTTTTGACAGCACTTTTCTTTGTATTTTATAACATGAATAATGAATTAGTTGGTATTAGTTTTTGATTATCTTAATTAGGAATGAAAACAGTTCTTTAATATTCACATAAAATACTCCTCTAACCGACTATAAACCGTGATAAAAGGAAGTGAGAGTGAAATTCTTTATTAGCGTTAACACTTTTGGTGAAAAGTGCTTAAAAATAAAAATAATATTATTTACAGTTATTCACTATTGCAGCCGTCCCATGTGGTATAAACGTGACGATTAGTGAGTTGTTATGTAAGATAATTAAAAACTACCACATTAATGTATCAAATCATTAACCGCCACATGTACGTCACATAAGAGCGAATGCAAATACTATTACTCTAAAAATAATGGCCAGTAATTACATTAGAAATGACTTGAGTTTAAGTCTAGTTCGCCACCTTTAATTATGAAAATATATACGTACATTAAAAAAAAAATTCACTCTTTACGCGTAGGAAAATGTAAGTTTTAAATAAATATACGTAGTTTATCTATAATACCTCAAAGTTTGAGGTGAGATGATTAGCTTATAGAGTGTATACATTGCCATATTCTGCTTGAGTTTTTACTCTTGTTTTGGACCTTTCTTCTAGCCTAATTAACCTACGATTATAAGCTTTAAAAATTTTGCTCAAGTTTTGTTTTTCTAATACGGACTGACTTGTCTATTTTTAATCCTTGAAATGTATTTCTAAATTAAATTAACCAAGTCACGCATTCGTTCGATTTTCAAATCAAGATTCACTCAACATCTAATGTTTATTAAAAAAAATAATAAAAAAAATTAAGGTTGGACTCTCTAACATTTCACATTTGATGTTTGTGTCCATATTCACAGTTTTTGTCACTTGGAAACCAAGGTTCACATGTTAAATATGCTGGGGACTAAGCACCTCATCTTTGAAATTTAAAAAGTCAAAATCACAAAATATTACAGAGCACAACCGTAAATATCCCGATATTTATCGAACTATAGGCATGCAGATAAAATACAGACACACTTGACACAATAATACTGATGTAAAGTAGCGCCAATGGAAGCATAAGAACTTGAAACCACGAACAAAATTCTAGTTTTAATAGATTTACTCTTGAAATATCTGAAAACTATGAATCAAAGACTCATTGATTCCTCAAAATACCAAGAATTCGAAAGTATAAGTGAAAATAATAAATTTTTCATTTCTTTAGATCTCATCTTTCAAAAGATCCGAGTGATCTTATTTTTACAATAAAATAAAACCATATTTTATACATTTTTCCTAAATATCACAATAAAAAGTCTAACCTAAGATATTAAATAAGGAAAAGTCTACATATTATTACACATAATGTTGTCCATAATGTGATGTGACAATCGTCTGGTTGTTGATGTATACGTAGCACTTCCCATTAAGTAAATGATACTATATTAAACAAAACCTAAAAATTTAAAGTATTATATAATATTAAAATCTTAAAATTGTCGAGATAAATAATTTGCACGCATCAAATCCATAGATTCATATAACTGCTTGAGCTGTATGGTAACAGATGATGACCAACTTTTCCTGTCTTTAGTGTTTCTTGCGATGCATGTGATGATGTGAAATTTAGTTACAACTTACAATTTATATTCTTATGTCTGTTTTTTCCTTGTCTATATAGTCCCATATCTATTCGAGATTTCTTGTCGGCTCGAATATATACCTAAACACCAATGAGTTTTCACATGTTGGAAATAGAGAAATCAATATTTTGTAATTAATGTTTAATTTAATGTCAAAATAAGTTACAATAAACTAAATTTTTTTTTTGGAAAATAAATTTATCTTGTTTTTAAATTTACGCAAACATACGTAGACATTAGTTATGCCTAACATTTACCCAATAAAGTGTTGACACAATATAATTTCGATTCAAGTGTTGACATAATGAGAAAAGTAGAAGGCAACTCCAAGTCGTAGAATTCTTTGGAGGTGGTTAATTATTATGTACCAAGTAACAAGCATGTCTAATATAAGTTTTTATTTTTGAGATTCAAATAGAATAACAACTACTCTTACCTTGATTGAACAAAATTATGTAATAGTTTGCTTATGGCACAAACGGTCCTTCACATACGGGTTGCTGCGAAAATAGTTACTAACTCTCAAATGTTGGCACAAACATTCCTAACATTTCACTTAATTGACGCAATAGATCCTTTTGGATATTTTATATTCAATTGACAGTTCAAAAAATATCGAACTTTCGATAAAAATATGAAATTATCCTTATTTTATTTAAATAAATAAATAAATAAGTGGAAAAGAAAAATGATAAAAATGGACAAAAAGAAAAAAAGACAATTTATCCTCCTAGCCAATCTCTTGTAAAAGGATCTTCAATTCAAAAGTGAATTGCTTTAAAATTAAGTGTCATGGAGCAAAATAAAAGTACTTAAAAAATGCATCTAATGCAAGTTGATAGGGATTCCGTCAAAATAATGTGACAAAGACAATAATTGATTTGAATTGATTGTTCATCGACATATAAAAATATGTTAATAAAAGATGAGATATCATTAAATTCTTGAAAAAAAAATGAAGATTAAAATATATATGTTAACTTTTATTTTTTATCTTGGACTTTTAATTTTTCTTTATTTATTTAACTAAAGAAAGTACATTTTTAGTCTATATATCAAAATTTTGACTTTTTAACTGTCAATTGGATGAAACATATTTAAAAATGATCAATTGCATCCATTAAGTAAAAGGTTAAGAATATTTACGTCATGAAAATTAGGTATCATTTGAACAACCACTCCATAAATTAGAAAGCATTGACGCCAATTTCTTTCTCTATCGAATCTTTTCTCTCACTTCATTGCATGTGTTATGATACTCAAATTGTATTATATAGCACAAACGTTTTAGTGCCTCGTACTATATTATTTGAGAATAATACAACATGTGTCATGTTATGATACTCACATTTAACTATGTAGCATTTATGTGCATTGTACTATATTGTTTAAGAATAATATGACATGTGATATGTAGGGTCGTAGAGTATAAATAATCGTACTCTATTCATTAAATTAATGATTAGACGGACCAAATTATGTGATCGTAAGACTTTAAAGTTGCACTCCCTATTTTTTATTAAACAAAATAACAAACGACAAGAAGAATAGTTGTTTTTCATAATTTAAAGTCTTAACTATTTAAATCGTGATTCCTCTATAGTATTATAAAGAATAACCAATTTAATAATATATAATTCTATAAACAATTTGGCCTACCGTGAATTAAGGAGATAATTAACATATGAAACACAACAATTGACGATTACACTTTTTAACTGTTTAGGACAAAAATAAATAAAAAGGTGGATGGAGCGATAATGGTTATGTTGTGAAGCTTAATTACGACCGATCAATATGTGGAGTCAATACGTGGAAGATAGGATGTGCGCTTTAATTAGGGTTTTATATTATCATAAAAAAGAAAGAGATATTAGATAAGTTAATGTGTACGATTTTCTCTCATAAACCTTTTCATCATCACGAATTACTGTAATAGCGAAGGGGATGTAATCTCAATGAACCTTTATAAATCTTGCGTGTTCTTATTATATCTATTTTTTCTGCGATTTAAATGTTCTGCATGGTATAGAATTAGAATTTCTATTTATCAACAATATTAAAATTAATAAATAACAAATATAATTTGAACACATTTAGAACGATCGCATCTATCCAACAAAAATAACGTGGTGGTTGCAAGTGGAACTCTTTTATTGTTTGTGGTCCACTTTGGATCCCATTATATTTTAACTATTTAAATCGGCCCACGAGGGCTTGAAAGAAAAATGTTTTTTGAGAGGATTCTTCTTGAAAGTTTTTGTGGTGAATTTTTTTCTCTGCAATTTGATTTGGAAGATTGTTTGAGGTAAAAAAAAATAAAAAAATGTATTTGATATGATATTTTATGATTTAGAGACAAATTTGTGAGCGGAAATTGTAGCATTATTTGGTTCGAATAAATTGATGCACCTTCTGAAAATGAGACTGAGACCATTTCCAAAGGAGACACCTAAACGCTAAAATGCACCAAATTTTGGTGCAAAAGCTCTTCAATGTGACACAAAAGTTTACACAATTTTGGTACAAAATCAAATTTACCATTTTTTCCATTTTCCAAAATAAATGATC